CTAAAAAAAAAGAGAATGTCATTGAAAATTCATTCGATGATTTATTCAATTTTATCGAAAGAATCGATGTGAAATTTTTGAAACGACTTAATTAATAATTTTAACTTTTAAATCAACTTATTGAACATTGAAAAAGCATCGTGGAAATGTCAATGCGAAGTCGAGAACGTCTTCTATTTCGATGCGGACAGACAGTATTCGGTATGTTAATGCCAAAACGTGTATGTAGATAATTTTAACGATTATACATTAACTACGTTGAATACGTATATTGCGATCTGCTTTTNATACATATAGTTTTCATATTGGTACCATATACTCGTGACTACTCAGTGGTATTATCGATTATAAATTATTATACGTATATTGATAGCGTAGAAACTGAAAGACATCAGTGTAGGTATTTTGACGAACGAGTTAAAAATCAAACTGATCGATTCCAATCTTCTTTTCTTATTCATGATTGACATTCTACTTTTAGGATTAGTTAGTAACGCTTTAATTGGTCCCTTAATGGGTCAGTCAGGTCTCCTCTTTTAGGAATAAAATATTATTACATATTTTTAATCTGTAGTATTAAATTAAATATCTTCTTTAATACATTAAATATCTTTATAATTTACGATCTAAGAAAAGTGGAGAATCTATCAGTTTGATTTTCACCTCTGGTTCCAGCAAAAATGTTTAGAGTTTTAAGAATCTTCTCGTTTTACAATGCAATATTTTTGTATGCAATTCTTAAAACTAATCGAATCTATGGCCTCCATACTTAAAAATAAAAAATAGCACGATGATGAGTTATGCGCTTAATGAATATAAAGTAGCGAAAGAGAATTCCGTTTCCTATTGATAACAGTTTATACTTAAATCGTGTACTTATTGCTGTTCAATTTTCTTTATACAGATTATATTACTTACGCATTAAAAAATTGTTCCGTTCATTATGAAGAGAATTTTTCATCGACGTTTATTATTACAAATATTAAAATGTTTGTAAATATAAAAGTAACGCTACCAAAAATTACGTATATATTTAGGAGCCTGCTTATAGAAATATGTTTTATTTATTTTTTAATGACATTAAAAGCTTTAATTAAAAAAGAAAAATTGTATTGGTCATTCAAGGTTGATATTTCTTCTCGATCTCCCGACGCTGTTCTTTTTAAAAACTACAAATAGAATTCAGAAACTGATTGGTAATAAGGGTTTTAATTATAAATTCATCGTTGCTTTTTTAATTTCACAATCTCAAATTTTGTTTTCGTATAAGAAATAATCATTAAATCAGGAATCGATGCTCCTCGTTCGACTTCTTCCACTGAACGAATATGTTCTATAAATAATTATTCCTCCGTGATTATTCGTACAGTTATTATTAACACTTTCACGTCTTTCGTTTCGTCCAAGTATTCGTCTCTACCGCCGATACGCTTTCCCCGGAATCGTTCTTATCAACCACGTCGTTATCACAGGACGGGAAAGTGTTAATCGATTTATTCAATATTCATAAGAGAAATTCGGTAAGGATTTTACAGTACATATACAAAAATACAGAAAATACTTTCCTTGTTTTAATATCAAAATTATAATATCAAATTGTGATACATCGTTTAAACAATACATAAAAAATATAGCAATTCTTTAACATATTAAAAGAGTAAGCGTGTTCGCGTACACTTCACAGAAAAATGAGATGACTCGACTGATTGGCTCACTTGTTGCAATGAGTCTCAAATGTTTTGGCGAAAATCGGCTGGATCTGTTCCAGGATGTCCGTCGTCAACATCCCTCTCTGCTTAATTTTGTAACTGGAAGCGTTACACTCTCTGATCAACCTCGAAGCGGCATAGCTAGCGGCGACGGGTGCGCTCAAGGAGCTCTCGCTGCTCCCTGCGCAAATTGCCCACCACCAAAAAACTGCTATAGACCCTGATAATAAATCTCCTTGGCCTCCGCACCTTCTCCCAGACCCTGCCAACCCGCAGGACACCGCTTCCGTTCCTTTGTGACCATCCGCGATCACATCCTTAGCTGAAAATTGAAATTTTTGTAAGACTCAATGCAAGTGAACAGCTAGCTTCTAAAGAAAAGAGAAATATCTAAGTACCTCCTTTGTGTAGAATGATGACATTCTTCCCCAGAGCTTCAGCTAAATGCTTAACGTCGTTGTTCTTAACCACGGGAGACGGTTGAATATTCTTATCCAAAACTCCTTTCACTAATCTACTAAACTCCATCGCGTTCGGAGTCAAAATTACCCCTGGATATTCCTTGATCACGTCAGGTTTCTGACTAATTAAGAACAACCCGTCCGCATCGATCACCAGTGGTTTCTTCATCTCGCGACAGATTGTTATCAGTTCGACTATCGTTTTAAATATTTTGTCGTCTCGCCCTAGGCCAGGACCGATTATGATCACGTGTAACCGGTCCAGCCAGGGTCTGATTTGCTTTATCGCATCGTACTGATCCAGGACTGGGTGGACTATCGGCTCTGGACTATAAGATTTCAATGGAATGCTCGCCTCTTTTACACAAAAAATATGTACCAAATCACAACCAGTGCGCAGTGCGCTCATCGCTGTGTAATAAGGTGCACCAGTGTATTCTGAACTGCCTCCGAATATTCCTATCCGACCATCCTGGCCTTTGTACTTAGTATTATTCAGATTCGGAATTATTCGACGAATCCCTTTTAGCATTCGTTCATCTACTGACACCGTCGTTGACATTTTGGCTACCAGCAAGGATTTTATCAAGTTCCTGTGAACAGAATTTATTCATACAATTGTAACAGATCTTTTTTACCTCGAATGGTTGATTGTTGATCGTACTAGTCATTATATGTAGATAAAACTGTTATTGTAAGTAAACATCTTAAATGAAGATAAATGTTTTTTTTATAAATCATTATGTCGAATGTAAAAGTAGTTCTTGCAAAAAATGATATTTCTTCGGTATTTTATTAATACAAATTGAGATTTCACTCTGTTATATTACCTGCAATTGTATTTAATATTTAATTGACGACTCGGAAAATACAACTTGTAGTTTTCTTCAATTTATATACGATTTCTTTGATCCGTGGAGAACGTCGATAAGAAACACGACCGTGTCCGACGAATAAATAAATAAATAAATAAATACAGTTGATGATAATCTGTAACCTCTGTGTTACACTGGTGGAGTCATGTCATTGTACACTTATAAAACGGATCAATTATATATGTATTGTATTTGAACACCTTGCTTACAATGTGGATACATGTAAATTTTAGTTTCGTTACACAAATACTACGAATTTTTCCAAGCGAAAATAACACGAGTTCGGAGATTTACGGTCCAGAGTCCAGAATGTTGAAAAACAATTGTTCGCTTCCGTTTGTCATTACTCGTTACGTAATTAAAGCCAAAGTTTTGAGTGTTACATTTTTCAATTGAAAATTTCAAGCGTAAACAAACGCACACACGCATACAGACCTAAACAGAAGCATCTCACGTTTTATCGACGGGCTTCGTTCGCTGCAGGAATTTTCTAACGCCTCTAGGGATATTAAAGCTGGAAATTTCTAACGCGCCGATCGAGTGGAATAAGAAACGATGAAAAGGTCGGCTGTCTACGGATCACAGACCTACATTTCTCGAAGAGCATTACGTCACATCTTTTAAGTATTTATCGGGATTTGAACCCGGTACGACCAGGATCAGTGAGTATCCCTTGAATAGAATCGAACATCTATTCGAACGAAAATAAGCACATTTAATTATCTAAATGTGCGCAATAATAGGCAGGCACTACTCTGTAATATAATATCCATATTTCTAATTTTTGAAAGTGTTACCGTTATTGCCGCATTGTTTAGTATTTTTACTGTCGTATTGTTAACGCGGTGTTCAATTAGTAAATATACAATCGCGAGCTATATTCTAAAGCGAGAAATAGATGCCCCCGTGGATGCCGCGTGGTGCTGGATTTTCGAATCATAGCACGAACGTTATGTTTATACCCTACATTCGCGGCGCTCTGTACGGGTCACACAGAGCCTTGGGCAACAATTAAACGTCTTACGAACTACTTCATGAGTATTAGATTTTGTATAGAAATTCAGTTAGACACATTTATATTGTTACTAAAATACAACAGCATTGAATGGTCAGAAACATTGTCCACTTACTCTATAGAATTCGACAAAACTTTATTATGAACTTTTAGCATTTTCACCTTACGCTTAGTCGCGTCTGTATGTATTCCTTATCACGGCATGATATCTCGAGATAGCTGGTCTCTACGGTTCAACCTTTACAGCAATTGTTAATAATTGATCATAATAATAATAGTAATAATAATAATAATAATAATAATAATAATAATAATAATGATAAAAAAGAAAAGAATAACGCAAGATGCAGCTCATTAATTTATATTATACATACACATTTTTAATGTTAAACATGTTTGACTCGCTTATTATTGACATACATAGAAGATATATGGATTGTTAAATTCCCTTTTGGTTTAGTCGCTTATTATTGTGCATATACATCTATGTGTATCTATAATATATTGTAAATACAAATATCTATATGTATAATAAATGGAATGAGATAAAACAATATTTTGCCGCGTGAACTAATCCACTAAAATCTAAACGATCGAACGGTCTGAAGAAGAGAAATGATCAAACACTTACACATATATTATATATGTCGTAGATATTATTTTAGAGACAAATCTTATAATTAATAAATGTTTATTCGGTTCATTCAATGGTACCGCTTAGATTCGTTTGTCGTTCCCTTTTTGCAATGGCTTAGAGTGATTCCCAACTTTTATACATATATACGACGTACGTCTAATGGTTGCTCTTTCATATTTCAATATGAAATCATTTATAGTTTATACTTTCAATGCGCAAACGATGACGAAACTAGCAACGCTCTCATTTAATAAATAATTCACTTAAATTTTTCTAAACTCCGTTATCGCTGTAGTTACACCGCACGGTAAAGCTATCGGAACAACTTTTGTAGATAGATCCTCCTTGTGGTGCCGTAAACCATTACGTTACATCCCTATCTTATAAAGATTACGCTCTAATGCTCCCCCCGTTACTGTTTTCAAGACGAGACGCTTGATTCACCTTAATCTATGTGATAGAAGTTCAGATGCTTACATACTTATCTATAACTTTCTGCTGACTCATATTATTGGCTTATTTCCTATCCTCACCTCCACGAGAGAACGTACTCACCTTCCAACCGATTTCCAAGCTTTAATCAGCTGATGCTTACTATAGTAAATCATTGGGGCTCGTCGACTTCGAGCATGCCCATATACCTACCCCATGCAAGGCCATGAAAGTTCCAATAGTTTTAGTAAGCGTACATCATCTGATGAGCCCTCGCTTGGCATCGTTCATCCGCTCAGCGGAAAAGGCGAGTACGTTCTCTCGTGGAACCGAGTTTACACACGCATCCGAATGTCCCTCCGCAATTGACCGCAACATTCTTATTTAACAACGTCTGATCAGAGACAGATGAAAGAATGCTCCCAAAACTCAGCGTGATTAAGAATAAAAAATATATTTACATGCGTGATAAACGACGCGTAGAAATTATACCTCGAGTTAATAAACTGTTGCTTCCGTTTTGCTCACTTTTAACAACTACATCATTTAACTTACGAATTAGTCGAAGATCGAAAATGAAAGACTAGACAAATTTCTCGGCTTGCAATTTGTTGTCGTTTTCGAATGTAATTAAACGTTTTAAGAACATTCTCCGTTCTTAACGCCCACAACTGGGCTTTGTTGGGTATGTGTCGCGGTGTTATAAGTAAAATCTATAATACTTCCTTATCGTAGCTATTATTTTCGATTTTTACACTCACATTTATGCACAAATTTTATTTCATATATTAATTCGTAGCAAAGTTATTAATCACCTGAATAGTAAGATGTAAGGTAGACAAGATCCATCGATCATTATTCTTGTTATGTCCGTCGTGAACGTCACTCTCTCTCTCTCTTTGAACTAATACAACGCATACCCCAATAGATGAGGTGTCATTGCACTATTTTTTCATCTTGTATCATCGCATAATTCTCACATTACGTTAAAATATATTGTTTGTTTGGGAAACTTCGCACGAGTCCTGTACGCTAGATGATCATAATAATAATAATAATAATAATAATAATAATAATAATAATAATAATAATAATAATAATAATATATAATAATAATAATATAATAATAATAATAATAATAATAATAATAATAATATGCAACTCACAACATATTACATATAATATATATAATGTAAATCCCGGGGCACCTTATTTTAATCCCACGTAGTATGATAGATATTATAGTATCATACAGTACATAGCATAGCTTTGTACCTTATGTAATGTCCTTCTTTTAGACAGTTTCTGTCCCAGGTGGTTTTCGTTAATTGTAGCTGTTGTCACTTGCCCACTTATCGTTAGACACTCGATAATATAGATAATACGCTTAAACCAGTTTTATTCGCGTTTACGACGCGTTCTACGTTATTCACACCCTCCTGCTTTACACTCCTTTTATTCCCTAATTATATTTGATATCTATCGAAGGCATTACGTCGCCACTGATTTCTCGATTCGTCTTCTTAGCGGCTAAACTTACTAATAAGTGTCATTGCAATGCAAACACGCGCAAATAAAGCGCCAGGCACTTTAGTAAGAGACTTTAGTCAGAGGTTGAAGCAAATTACAATAGGATGCATGAATTACCGATGGTTGACTTCTTTTCTGTTTTTCTTTCTGTTTTTAACGCTAGAATGTAGACGACAGGCGGTAAACAGTTACTCCTTAACAAGGCAGTTTGTAGGACGGACGACACTTCCCTACGTCTCATTCGAATGAGATTAATCACTGTTAAACAAATCCGAGCAACTTTTCACAAAGCGAACCGGATTAAGTAAGTTACATAGTAACCGATAGACGGATGATCTTTTAACTGTTGAATTCGAGTCGTCCGACGTACTTCCTACAAACGGCGGGTAATAAAGATATATTCAAGATGATTACGCTTTCTTGATAAACCTTTCCTTTAAAGAACGACCGAGCTCGCTAATTAATTATGTTCCGGTAATGTCCCGTTCATAAATCTTAATGTAAGTTTCAATTTAAAAATTATAAGCCACGATCTGTCAATTTCATCGTTAGAAATTTGGTGTATGATAAAAATGAAGTGGTCTGATTAATTGAACTTTCTTAAAGTGAATTTGAATTGAAGACTTATGAAGGGGAGTTATACATATGTAGACGAAGCTCGGTGGTGCATTAAAGTGTCACAAATAATTGAATTCAGCACGTATTATACTTAATCTACAAAGGTCCGTATATTACAACGTCCTCCGAGATCAATCTGGCCAAGATTGAGCGCGTATGTAGACACTAATAAAATCATCTGAAGCACGCTCGACAAGAAAACGTTACGCATAATATTAAATATTAGAATTACATGTAGCGACTTCTTTTTCCTGGATTGGTATCCTACCTAATGCTTAACTATGAGACCTCCATTGTTATGAACATTGTTTCGATTTCGATAGTTAGTATTTATTTAATTAGTACTATTGAATTTTTATTATCACTCGTTTTCATCGTCTGGTTATTTAATTAATATAAGTGAGAGTTTGGTTGGGCGATTTTTAAACTACACGAGGACTCTGTTCTATAGAATGTAGAGCTATCTACGACTACTATACGATCCACATAATTATATTTAAACATCCATACTGTCTACTTTAAAAGATAGAGATCAGTGTGATGAGACGTTTTAATTCAATTTTTTCTTTTTCAACTCTCTCGATGTCTCCCCGTTTCCCTCAGGCCTTTTCGTAACCGCTTTTTAAATAACATGTTTCTTTTTTTCTTTGAACATTTATTCTGTATATAGATCGTCCGCTGAACGCGGTATACTTTACAAAAAATATCACGGCCTTCGAGAAACAGCAGAAATCTTGTTGCTAGACGACAGCTTACTAATTAATTAGGTACATAATTAAGAAAATGGGAGGATCTTAACTTCCTACCATGTATCTAGGCTTATATAGATGTTGACGTGGTTTGCGTTTTGCTCATATATCATTTGCAATCCGTTTGCCGTGTTTGCTAACAAATGTAAAATACGGGTATTATAAGTCGTTTTCCTACGGCGTACATCGATGAGAACTGTCGGCGGTAATCGAACTAACTCTTTAATTAATTGTTCATTTAAAACAGAATTCCGATAGTTTTATTAGTCCGTTATCCTGAGTTCATTTAGATTCTTACTAATCCATTATTCTGAATTAGACAGCGTTTTTACTATTAGATCATTAATTTCCTCATACGTTTCACTCGTACGTCCCACTAATAGATTATTAATTTCCTCATACGTTTCATTCCTGCAAACCGCATTTTGTACTTTTACGAAGCAGAAACATTTCTCACATCCCTCGACGATCAAACGAGTTATTAAGGACAGTTTATATCGATATACACCGTACATATACGCAATTATATATATGTACATACATATACATCACATATAATATATGTCAGTAAACAAATATAACTCGTCTGCCTTAATTTGTAATAGTACATATCGACCCTAATTGAGAGAAAGTTATCTTTAATCTTGCCGCCTTTAGTACTTCTGATTTCCCGTTCTGTTTTATTAATACTAGTTTTCATTTATTTACCCGTCTCGTATAACAGCAGTGATGTATGGCGCTCTTTTGTGCAGATTTTCTTCTTCACGTCTAAGTCAATACATTTTCCTCGTTTATTCGAACAGCTTGTGTACAACACCCCCCCCCCACCCACTCGCGCTTCCTTCCTAGATAAAATTTAACGACGTACAGTATAAATAGTCGCTCGATATAACTATATTCGCTTTCCCTGTCTACGCGCTATTCTATGATCTATCAAATGTTGATCTGCAAATATAAATTAACGATCCATGTGATTTTCTTGTAGTTCGCTTGAAAGACACTAATTGAAAATGATCATTCCCTTCTACGTTAGAATTACACTTTTATCGCCTGCTTAGAAATACAAAGAAATTATATGATTTTACCTTCTTCATAAATGCAACGATGTACATACGTAAGAAATGCTTTTTTCATCTTTCTTTTAACAGACAAAAATTGACAAAACTTCGCACATCGTTTAACATTTTCCTCGCTTTAGCACTGTAGTGACTCGCTTTAACTTATGAACCGAGAGCTACAACGTCTCCAATCAGCAGATTCCGAAAAGTTTAATTGAAGAAACGAAGAAATCGCGAGATACAAATATAATAATTCGAAATTGTTCTGTACTACTTTATACCCGCAATTTTGGTCTACGATCATCACGCTCGCCGCAAAATCATCGGGAATTTCGCAACACTTAAATCTAATAAGGGCGAAATGGGACATCTTAATCTACTAAGGGTTCATTTGTCACGCGTTATGAATACTTCTTCCTTATTATTATTTGTCGGAGTTTCATGTTGTATCTCTTTTATTATCATCTTTCGAATGTTGTGCATCGATTTCAGTTATAATAACGATCGGCGAGAACACGCCTTCAAAAGGAATATATGCCCATTTAAAGTCCTCGTTATTGTATTTAGTAATTATAGTAGCCAGCAGAACGTTAATTCTCGCATATCTTCATCAAATTTTCATGTTTACATTATCATAATAATTCTAATCCTGTTCACGTATAATCTTAGCTTACCTAATTGTATTGGATGTGCCAGACTTGAACAAATCGCCTGATTATGTTGCTTTCCTCCATAATATTAATAGATATTATTAAAATCGTAGTTAAAATTAGAATCATTAATATACAAGATTCTACAGGTCACTGACAAAACAATTTCAGTGTATCCTATCAACTGTATGCTGAAAAAAAAATTGGTAGAATTCAAGAGGACTTAATTTGTCATTAATACTGCTTTCTTTTCTAATATAAATTATAGAAAAAAATCGCATGCAAATAACAATACTAAAAAAAAATTTTGCTGGCATATTAATGATTCTAACGGTACATACTATCTTGAAAGCCACATCATAAAATACTTTAATATTTAGACATTATTATACCACTTCGTCAGCCTATCTATTGCCTCTATTCCATTTTCTGTTTATGTCTTTGCTATCCTCCAGTTTCTTAAAAATACATAAATGAATTATGGACATTATAGTTGTTAACCCTCCGAATACTGAAACGCGGACTTCTAAGACGAAGTGATTTCTGATCCACAACAATATTTCATAATTTACGACCCTCCTTACGCTTGCTCGCTTACCTCGCGAAGCGTCTCATATACACAATTCTGTCAATGTGTACGTTATCGCTTTCGAGGTATGCTTGCCCGCGAAATCCGCGACTCTGGCATAGTAGACGGAGGATTAATCATTCGGAGACACACTCATTGTTCACATTTTACGTAGGCATCCTGGGTCGTTTATGTTTAGAATTATTTTCTCTACTGTTCTCGGCTTTCAAAGAAGCTGAGAAAATTCTGGTTCACTTATTAAAGTTTCTCCTTTAATACTGTTACGAGTTAAAAATAAAAATGTCGTAAACTGAATTGGAAAAAATATACAAGTTAAAACAAGAACGAAATCTGCGCGAGTATAAGCGACCCAGTGTGCGAAGATTCAAAATGATTGATTTCCATCACCTTCCCTAAATCAAAATGGGAACACATTCTTAAAAAATAAAAATACCGGCCTTAAAATATATGTTGCTGAGTGAATAACACGTATCCTTATATACTAATGACGCGTGGCAATATAACTAGTTTCCGGATGAGTACTGCACGATTTCACTTGTTAAGAGGCCGTTAACCCGATCCGTTAATTCTACTGGGTCCGTTAATTTTTTTTAACCACATATTCCTCAAATCTGCTTGGAATTCAATATTACATAGGTATCATTTATTTCGCGGCACGATTCGCGTTGACACGTATGCATCGAGGTAATTAATTATTCGCGTTCGTCTTACAGTGCTTCATTCCATAAGGCTACCATTATTATTATCGTTCCAACATGAGTGACTGAATCGTGAAATAAAATCAGAAAGAGTTAATAGAAAACCATGTTGGTTATAAATATTCTACTTAGCAGTCAGTTATCACATATGTATAGTGAGTCGAATGTCGAATGGTCAGATCAGTTATACTTTGGATTCATCGATGTGGTACAAAATACATTGTTCAGCAAATGTGGTAAAATTTAACGCTATTAAATTCCCGGAGTAACGGTGTTCTAACTGTCGCGAACTTTGGATACTTAGATTCTTAACTTACTTTGGCCATTGGTACCGAAACATTTACAAACTTTTTCTCTTTGTAAACTCGCTCACACTTTCTCTATCATCGACAATGCATCACCTTGAGGTGGCCAAATTTTTTTTTTCAGCGTGCTTATAAATACAAGTAGTAGGCTGATACGTGCCGATATAATTTCTTCTTCACATGATTTTTGTTCTTTACAAAAAAGACTGATCCGAATAATATAAACAACAAGGCAACAGTCTTGAAAAGCGAATTTGATTATTTTTGAGTAATCTACAAATGCTAGAGGCTGTTCGGCCCCTAAAAAATAAGCGTAATGTTACACGGCAGCTTCCTTAAATTCATTTCATCAAAGTTCATCCATTCAATCAAAAGCTGCGTTTCTAAAACGTGAAACTAAAAGCACCTCTTTTAGTACCTACATGCTAGAATATTAAAAAAATCTGCCCAGAACCTCTCTGTTCGACACATCATTAAATACAATAAAATAAAAAAAGAAAGGAGAATGGAAAATACGGTGCACAATAAAAAATCGTACGGCGCGACGTACGATATTGGGCGGCTCGTAAAGGAGAGCGAAAGAGAAAGAAACAGAAATGAAGAGAAAAGAAAAAAATGTGACCACTCAAGAAAGATTGTCCAGCATTTAAATAATCTAAAAACACATCCCTCGTGCAAGATATGATTATCAAGATTATCAATATAAGAGACGCAGTTTTAGACGGGAATTATGCGAAATACATGACTCGTTTCGTGTTCGCGTGAACCGTGATGGCCCTAGCCATTGCACCCGGTGTTCTGTCTTCGCTACAGCCAGACTGATGAGATCCTTCGCCGCTATGATATCAATTAAGACAAAAAAAAATTAAAAATAAATAAGAAATATATAATCCATGAAATATCGCTATTCTAATCAGTAAATACCCTATTAATATACTATTTAAGTAAAATTGAGCTCACCTGTCGTGTTCCTTCTCCACCAAATGATACCTAGCTCGGAACGCTACCAGATGAGCGTAATACGCCGGAGCTGGTATACTAACCGACCTCGTACACCTAACGTACGTGTGACACAACTGATAAGTGAGAGACTGCAACTCGTCGCTCTCGAAGTGGTTGTCATCCCAAAGAACGTGATAGTGCGAGGGGCGCGAGGTACCCTGCAGAAATACACAGCTTCTGTTAAACTCGACCCGGCGAAACGTGAGCCATCGAACGTCCGATCGATCCTTCATTTACCTGGATGCCTTGATGACTGCATAAGTAGAAATCAAACTCGGTTGGATGCGTTATGCAGACATCGACAGTCGTGCCTGCAGGTATGTTCCCGCTTTTCCCCATCTGTTCGCGTCTTTCAGAACAGAATAATCGCGTGTGATGTCTCTTCTGAACTACTACGAATGTAACTCCGGGTCTGTAGTCAGCTTCGAGTTTGATGCAAGCCTCGCGGATAGCAGTTAGCTCATGCTGCAAAACGTGTAGAAACTGGCCTTCCGAAACGCCGTCGCGGTACAATATTATCCTCAGTGGTTTGTATCCACCGGTGCTTTTGTAGAACATTAGAAGAAGTTCCCTTCGAAAGAAAAGCAAGAGAAGATTATAATAATTGTAATAGGCAAGAGGGAAGTAGTAATAAAAAAAACGACTTACTTAACCATAGAACTAAGTTCCTGAATGATCTCCTGCCTGTGCTGTTGAACCCTGACAGTAGCTGCATATCGCGAGGGGTGAGCATCCATACTGGCTACCACAGCTGCTATACTGGGTTTCTTGTTATCTCCAGCTGGTGGATGGGTCACGTCGGCTCCGAAGAAAATAACAGGTTCGTCGAATACTTTCGGTCTGATGCTGGGCACCAGAATACTGTTAATACCACCCAGTTTCACGTTGATTTTTAAACACAAGTTCGACAAAGTCTGTGGCGATGTCTTGTTAACGTTCTTCGCTTGCACGCATTGCGTTGCCATTCCTAACAGCGTATCGCCCACTCTTTTAACCTCGGCTGTGCGAAACAAATTAGTTTACAAATATCGTTTACCCACAATTAAATTGCTGACTTTATGCATTTATAAGAACATCAAACGTACAGAAAATATCAGTGATACGTTTAAACGCATTTTGCACAAAAATCGGCGGTGTATGAATAATATTATCTATAAAATTACCATATACAGGTGTCTTCCCGGGTAATATAACGCAGACGAGTTGCACCGTAGAGAACGTCGCCTTCAAATATCTGAACATGGGCTCGACCTGATCCGGGCCTGTAGCGTATTTACAGAAACACGGCTGTCCCACGATCGGCATTCCAGCATCGTTGCTTATTCTCTGCAACTGCGCTATAAAATTTCTGATAGCATCGTCACGAACAGTTCGCTGAGGCGCGAAACAGGCGATCGCCCATACTCGGATCTCTACGCCCGTGAAAAATTGTTTGCCGCGCATGTCCCAGACGCCTCCGTTTGGTATTGCTTGCTGTTTCGTCTTTGGCAAAAGGGAAAGTAAAAACGTTTAATATTGCAATTTCTCACTTCGGCTCGGAGTATACGAATAGTACAGATGCACCAGTGTTTCTATACAATCCATGCAATCATTGTTTCTTCATATTTTCTTTTAATAAAGAAGCAGCTAGATGTTTAAAATAAATGCAAATGAAGGAAATAAATGAGAATTGAGCAAATTTTACTGCATGGAACGGAACTGAGCATCGGATGACAATTAAACAATGGACTGTGAATGTAACACTTAAACCCTTTTCTCGAAAGTTGTAATTCTTCAAAAATGATCATTTCCATTACAATCACAGTTCATTTTTCAAAATCAACCAGGTCTAGAACCCATGCATTCATTTGACAATTTCTCGTTATTATTTTCTTTCACCACGCATTTCAAAAATATAGAAGAAATAGCCCAGCACAAATGTGTTATTTTCGACAAAATTTAATAGAGAAAGAAATTGAAAGTAGCCTAAAATAAAACATTTCAGGCTAAATCATGATTGCAAGAGTGTTTCGTCTCAGTCACGCATGATACAAAAAAACAAATAAATCATCGTAACATTACGGAACATCGGAAACGCATCTCTCTACCAAAAACAATACCAGAGCCTTTGCAAATGTGTATTCTGGCTAGACCTGACTGATTGATTTGGAATTTCTCACCTGTCCACTGAGGGAACTTACGCGCCCTCCGTACTGCAGCTTAGGCGGAGGTAATATACGACCCCGAACCTCCATCATATTGTTCGATATCGTCAAACCGAACTCTTGAACGTACGCGTCGTTATTGAAGTCCGCTCTTTTCACTAAATTGTTTATTTCGCGTTCTCGATCCGGCGCAGAACGAGCCGTGGCTTTTATCATCGTCGACGTCTGCATATCGGTCAGTTTCTTGATGCACCGTTGTCCGGCTACGATGTTGCAAACCTAAACGACGACAATTCAGCTAGCGATATTCTATTAAACTTAAATGAACAGTTGAATAAGAAAACTGTACAAACCTCGAGAGGTAAATACGTATGCTTGTGCTCCTGCCCGACTTGAAGACAAGGAAGGTACGGGTGGCGCAACTTCATTTTATATTTGTCTAAGAAATACTTCGCAACGGTACACTCCACTGTTTGTCCGTTCTCCAGTTGTAACGGGAATCTAACATTTCCATGATAATTGTATTGCATTGTATTTAAAGTTATTATGATTACTTTTTCTATATACTAACGATTGCATTTGCGCGGGTTTGCGCGTGACATTGCACACTCTGTACTTCCGCCTCATCGTCCCGCAGTGTGTGATTTCGATTTTAAGTCCTTTGATTTCTTTGGTAAATTTAACTCGTTGAGAATCCGTCAACGGCCTTTTCTGATCGCCTATGTCCCGAATGTCTAACACCTCGCACATGAATTCTATCACGGGTTGTGCTTTGTAGAACGCGGTTGCAGAGACTGTAAACAGAATTCATACGTTAACGTACTCGGTCCAAGTTTATATTGACAAACCGAACTGGTGATATGTTATTACCATCGATGTTCAGCATCATTTTCCATTGTGACGGTCGAACGGACTGATGGAAACCAAACCAGACCTCTCTGCCACCGCCCAACGGATGATAATATCCATCCGGCGTGCTAAAAAATGATCTACCTACTGGAGTGTACGTCATAGATGGTAAATGCCTCATTACGACGTCCAGAGCGAGTATAGCATCATAAGGAATCTGTCTTGTACGTCCTTCTAGAGCTTCTTCTAACGCAAATAACGATACTTGAGCCACCCACTTTATCACCACGCGGAAAACTCTGTCTTTGCCCTCGCCAGGCAGTGTTACCTAAGAGAACCAATTGTCGTTAGATACAACAGGCACATATATTTTCATTTATTACTTACCTCTAATTCTATTTTGTCAGTACCAATAGGCAAGGGATCTCTCGTGTACAAATTATTCCTCCCGTCGAACACGGGCTTTAAAGTTCCGAATATTTTGCTGTACGCGTGAACCATCGTTTCTATAATTTCCCTATTTACTTTGCGTGGACATTTGTCGGGTTGTATGTTAATATCGTAGTGATGCACGAAGCCGCGTGGCATCGTAATTTGGAAGTGATTGGCTCTTAAGAGAATTGGCCGACCCTCACGTCCTATGTTTGGTCTTCGAGGACATGAGAACACTGTAATCACAATTTAGAATTTGTTTAAAAACCCTGTCGACATTCGTCGTGATCGGATCTTTATAGAAAAATACGCACTTGGCAGTTCCGGAGGCTGTGGAGGAGTGTGTGTCTGTTGCGTGGAGGCGAGCGCCAGAGAACTGGAAGCCATCACACTGCTTCCAGTTGCTCCGGCGGCTCCTACGGAGGAGCTTGTCGTGGGTCCGGGTGGAGGAGCTAGAAATAAAATTTTCGTCAAAAAAACCGTACACTTCCCCACTTGAGACACTTAAATTTTACGTTAAAATGAACAAATACACAAGTCCGTTTATTCCCCTTGCAACAATTATTATTAATCAATATATTGCTTGCAATATTGTAGAAATTGATTATAAAACGTCAATAACACAGCGATAACAAGAAAGTTGCACAGTTTTTGCAGTGCTTATCTACGGTATTACTTTTAAAATAGTTGATAGGCTATAAATTATGAGTTATTGGAATGATCGTGGGCGCGAAACGGGGCGCAGGTGTAACAAAAAAGCATCGGTATTAGACAAGTATATTATATACTCGTTATCCGTGTATCAAATGAATCGGAGTGACGACACGTCGTGCCTGTTGAACGAGGTTCATACGAGGTCATTTTTGTACTTTTCCTCGCCAATTTCCCTCGCCAATTTTCCGTTTATTCATCGATACAATCAAATTCCATCGTTTCGCGGACAAACCGAACGAATTGCGAGCGATTCGACTTAATCAAACGTGAACAAAGGAGCGGAACAGTTCGAGTCAACGAACGGATCCAGTGACCGTTTAGACAGAAATACAGTACGGGCGCAATTTTCTTTTATCGTGAGGAGAATCAAAACCCTGGTGATACTCACCCTGACCTACGGGATGCATTCTTGCGGCTGACAGTGAAAAAGACCCGGATAACCACTAATAAATAAGTAAAAAATTCCAACAGAAAACGCGCAAATCGTAGTGGCCACACAACACACTTCTCCCACGATACACACTGCCTAACGAGAGAAGAAACTGGGGCTGCCCTCCTGCAATGGCTGCCACACTGCCACACCAACTCTTCGATTCTGATTGATCTTATCTCGTCCAATAGGGGTAGAATTCAACGTAAAAATAATTTAACAGAATCTAATCCCATCAATTCTATTGAATTCAATTTTCTATCGTTTTACAATCATTAGCTAGCGAATAGGACGGAAATTCATCTAAGATTTAGTAGCAAGGTGGTATGTAACGATATATTTAAGATTTATTAAGTACTCTCTCTCTCAACATGAAATTCAACGAGGAAATACGAAGAGTAAGAATAAATGTCAATTGTAGTAAACGTTCCCTTGCGAACTTTCCGAAATTATAATTGTAATTACAATTTATAACAGAGAGGAACTGAGAGTGCTCACGGCCGGGTTTTGCGTGTTCCCCATACTAGTGCTGCCCCCAGCTATTTTTTGCAGGGATCTGACACGTTCAGTTCAACGTTTAGCATTTACCAGAACCAACTGAACAGAGATCTGCCCTGTCCAGTTCAACGTTTAGCATTTACCAAAACCAACTGCACAGAAATCTTCTCTATCCAGTTCAACGTTTAGCGTTTACAAGAACCAACTGAACAGAGATCTGCTCTGCCCAGTTCAACGTTTAACATGTACTTATAAGGGAACGAAAGAACCATTTCAACGCCAGCAAATACGTAATGAAGGTCAGCCAATATTACGAGATGTTCACACTCGTATTGTTAATAATTGTAAATAATTGTTAGGAGATTGTCTTTATAAGTGAGCTTCGAACACGAGGAGAAACGGGGTTACGGAAATAAAGATTGGATTTAATTCTTTTTTAATTGAGGCAAAACCAAATTTATTACGATCTGAAAAACGCCTGTGTTCCCTGTATACAGAAATTTGTATTTAGTTTATATTCTGTTTGTATCGGACCGCCCCGTTGTTCTTCATCCGTTCGCATGCAACTATTGCAACTCCAATAATTTGAACCCGAATTTGTGGTACGCTTTCTAATTGTCTGAATTTAGTAAATATTATTAACCATACTTGGATACATATGCAATTAAAATAAATATTTTTTACTAAATTCAGACAATTAGAAAGCGTACCACAAATTCGGGTTCAAATTATTGGAGTTGCAATAGTTGCATGCGAACGGATGAAGAACAACGGGGCGGTCCGATACAAACAGAATATAAACTAAATACAAATTTCTGTATACAGGGAACACAGGCGTTTTTCAGATCGTAATAAATTTGGTTTTGCCTCAATTAAAAAAGAATTAAATCCAATCTTTATTTCCGTAACCCCGTTTCTCCTCGTGTTCGAAGCTCACTTATAAAGACAATCTCCTAACAATTATTTACAATTATTAACAATACGAGTGTGAACATCTCGTAATATTGGCTGACCTTCATTACGTATTTGCTGGCGTTGAAATGGTTCTTTCGTTCCCTTATAAGTACATGTTAAACGTTGAACTGGGCCGACCAGATCTCTGTTCAGTTGGTTCTTGTAAACGCTAAACGTTGAACTGGATAGAGAAGATTTCTGTGCAGTTGGTTTTGGTAAATGCTAAACGTTGAACTGGACAGGGCAGATCTCTGTTCAGTTGGTTCTGGTAAATGCTAAACGTTGAACTGAACGTGTCAGATCCCTGCAAAAAATAGCTGGGGGCAGCACTAGTATGGGGAACACGCAAAACCCGGCCGTGAGCACTCTCAGTTCCTCTCTGTTTATAATAAATGTCATAGTCATAAAACTCGGCTAGAAATTATTTGTTTCACGCTGGTAACACTGAAACAGAATTTTCCCCCAGAACCCCGGCTACTATATTTATTATTTGAGATTGCGTGCTTCGGTTCTCAGAAATGTCGATTCCCTTCAACGGCACCCGTTCGCGTTCTGCCGGGGTAATCAGTGCGATTGCTAAGCATCTGAGAACGCTATCTTTAAAACCGGTAAAATCCATCGAGATCAAGTTCGATCCGTTTCACGAGAAATCTTTGGAGACAAGGTTAGTTTGATAGCACACCAACGATCTATCTTTTCTTAGCTTTCACCCGATAAAGAATAAGATTCATATCGTTTTTGACGTTGTAACAAATATTTCCGAACTCCTAACGATGTTTAAATAATTGAAGACTCCGTTCCCCTCATTACGAGCATACTAACTAATGACGTCAATAACCAACGCACGCGCAAAAACGTGAAGCGTCTTGTAACTAGCAGACGATATTGTACCATCAGTATTTTTAGAAAAACTTTCGATAATTGAAACAATCGCGAATGTAATGTGATAAAACCGTGTTGTTAAAGGGTCAAGTGTACTCTGATGTACGCGAATTGAAAATCGCGGCTCTCTTGTTTTGTCAATTGCGATAAAAACGAAATTATTGTCGATCTTTCCACGCGACTATCACTTATTTTTCTCGTATCAACTGTCACGAACGAACTCGCAGGTAACATTTCAATTTTCCCCGTATTTTTAACAAGCAATTATTAAGATCAGCCCAGTAAAATTCTTTAAGGATTAATTGCTTCAGTTAAAACAATTCCTTATTTCGTTTTGTTGATCGCATGAAAAATGACTTACCACTGCATTGTCCACATCCATAAGCCTTGCCAAGCATGGATACTGTCGTAGTTATGCGAAGACTACTCAAGTCTGGCATTTGAAGGGGTAGCGGTTCCATTTGCGCCATTCTGTCTGAAAATATTAAAAGCCGACAGATCAGAAGCTGTAATAATAAAACTTATCTCACAAAAATTTAATTTAATGTACGTGTAAACATTTACAGAGGTTTTCTGTTTCACATCACAACTCCGAAAATAATTGCTACTAATCCGAGGTGCACTGTAAAGCCAGAGATTCGTTCTGATTTATCCGAACCCGTAGTCACATTTAATTTACGTGAGTATCATGGTTCACAAACTTGAAAGTACTTGACAACAAGGAGAATGTTTTGAACAGTTTAATTTGTTTTATCACACGGAGGATAAACTATGCCATTATTCGATCAAAATCTATATTATACATTTCTATATTCTGTCTTTTAGTAGCCGGTGATAGGATCATTTGCAAGGCAGGAAACTTGACTTCTTTGAATCTATTGGAACTGTACAATAAACACATCACACCGTTGGCTCCAGTCGAGGTTGAAACCGACGTTAAAGTTCCGCTTGTCGTAAAGAAGAAGAGCACGAAGAACAGGATTAGGATTAAACCGGGAAGCAAGCGCCGAGGAGTGATCTTAAAATGCTAAGTGAATTTCGACAATATTAAAGAGAATATTTAAGTACGAATGTACAAGTGAAAGAATAAAGTGCTTAGAGAATCTGAACCTGCTGAATCAGCCGAGTCTTTTAATCGAGAATTAGATTAGCATTTCATCAGAGAACTCAAATCAAAAATTATTTGGATCGAAGTAGAAGAGACGATTCAGACAAAATGGCAACGCAATACAGTGTAAACAGTAAGAACTATATTATGAAGCTGATCGACACGCTTTACAATCAAGTTCCAGCTTTCACTGACGTGTTCGACGAGGAGACCTGGTATGTCTTTGTTGCCTGCTTCGTAGCAGGAACATTTGTGATCGCGTTCATCTTGTCAAGGTTCATTACATTGAAACCCGTAGAATAACATTAAAATGTAATATTAACGAAAGATAATTTATATATTCTCCATTGCATCAAACATTCACTTCATATTTGTACTTCATTGTGTGAAATCAAATTTACAATATGTAATCGTCGAGATTCTGCTGATCAGATGTTTCTATCACACGGAATGTAGTCGAAGTTATATTTAATAATAAAACATTAACAAGATTGCTTTGGTCTTTAATCGTCGGATTACAGTGTATAATTTCTTAACTCCTGCATGATCCTATTAAATACAGACACATATACATTAAACAAACTCACCTATTTCTTATATTCGGTACTAGATTTCTGATGAGTAGAGTACGTGTTCACATAAGAAATTGTATTTTCTTATCGTCCATAAACCTCAAGACGTTGTTTATGTATCAACTACATAAACTAGTTTTTCTTTCATATACTGCACTACAAAAATAGATCTTCTGTGACGACACACATCACTACAATTATCCAATTACCCTGCATACAAATTACAATTGCGTTACACAAAGCATACGTATTCGTGAAAAATATGTGTTAAAAAGATCATGAAAGATCGTGTAAAAGAATCTCAAATAATTTTAAAAGTTACAATTTTAAAGAAACAGTGTGGAAAAATGTCAGGCAATTGTTTTGCAATATTATAATCAGTTTTTAAATCTATCTAGAAAACTGTATACCAAATTCTGCGCATATATGTGATACATCGAACCAATTTTATTTTTACACGTTGGGTAGGCAAAGTATAAGTTTTTCAAACTTCCATTCAACCATTTCGGAAGCGTGCATCGCCATGGAAGCACTCCTGTTTTTGTTTAAGCGATGTAACTTAATACAGTTACTTGGCTGGTTTCATGAATGGAAATTTTTTAAACACGAGATCCTGCTTAACTTTGACAAAGGACGATTATTTTAGTTTACATACAGGCGTACGCTGAGCGTGTATACATCATGGCGCGTACACGTATACGCGTACGTAGACACACCATGTTTCACGGGCGCATACAAACATGTCGATACAGTTATGCTATACATACTTTGTTTTCGTTCCCGACGATAGTCTAACGTAGAATCATCTCATGCTTACGAGAACGTCAATGAGAGCACGTTAAGTATACAAATAAAATTGACTGCGTACATCTAAACAGATTTACGTAGAAACATTACTCAAACGAGAAACGACGATTGTCTGACCATATGATTGTTAGCATCGTAGTATATGCGCAAAATAATTGGTAGTACTGTTTTTGTTTGCTGTATGACGTGTACCCTTTGTGAAACAATAATGTAATTTTCCGATGAAATTTACCGCGTAACCTGCACTCGGCTCGTAAACAAAATTCATAAACTCGATACAAAAGTACGGAACTTCTATCAATGGTTAAATCACACGGACGTAGTCGGAGCCTGTTTAATGAGAGATTTTACGGAATGGCCACCGCGGCTTTCACTCGCGACGCGCGTTTCTCGGTAGAAACGAGGAGACGAAGTCGCCAAAAACGATCACCAAGTGTCAAGGTTGCCATTGTACACGGAACACACCGAATACGCGGCGGACGTGTGAGTTTTACGGACACATGCATAAACAGGCACACGGTTTGTAAGCGGCTACCGCAAAACAATAGTACTTTATCGGCGAGCTTGTGGTTATTCTCCAGTGACACTCTGATTCTAAAGCACTTTAATATTACTTTTAAACCTAAGGATTTTGATTTAAATTATGCGAGATCCGATAAGATATACAGTACAATTACCCGGTAACTTTTGACGACATTCGCGATCAACATACGCGAGTGTAGCCCCACTACCTACTTGTTCGATTCACCAGTTTATTGCGAATGCCCCGATGCCAATCTGGTCAGGATTGTAACAAGTAAACAGAATGGGGTACCATTGTCCTTTCTGTTTGTTTACAAACAGTGACATATATATGTATAATATCAATACATATATATATGGAAATGTACGACATTTAAATCTACATGCTGATTTTACTACGTACAATTCATTTATTATGCAATGTGTTTACTCGTAATACTATGCGAGTAAAAGAACGAAATTCCAAAAGCTACTATATAGATTATTAAAACGAAAGACGCATTAGGTAAAATTCTGTATATGTCTTTCAAATGAAAAGTAATTAAACGATGTCTAAGTGATACGATTGTTTACAACAAACGAAGTTTACTTGTCTTATTGCAAATGGAGTTTTTACAAATCCAAAATGTGACAGATCTAAATGAATGTGTCTTCTTCCATTTCCACGAGATTTTGTAATACAATTAAAAGTAGTTGTTTCAATTGTCGCAATTTGTATGCAATAGCAAGTGTTTCTCACAATAGAATGTTTCTGGAACAAATAAAATTGGAATTGTGTACTTTCAAATGGTAGGACGTCTCCTGTTGAGCCGATCCTGAGTGATGTCATGATTGAGCGACCAATGAAATGCTTTGCGAACTCACGACACGAACGTTCCTGTCGATTTCAACATAAAACGGAAATTCTTTACTGTAACAAAATGAAATAGCATTGAATAATTAAAAAAGGAATATTGAATTCACGGGAGAATAATTTTCATAGATTAAAATTTGAACATTGAGACGTACACACAGACTTGAAGTTTCTATATCGATTATCAGTGATAGCCAATCCCGCGTTTGTGCGTCGTAAACGGTACACCTTTCATTGGTGCATCGTATTCCCGCGGCTGAATCGCACGGTCGACTGAATCGCAGTAACTATAATACATTTACAAACTTAAGTTTCTAAATATCTCGCAGAATTAATTTACCCCAGGAGTGCTTCATAATGATTTCAATTTATTTGAATACATTTTAATATACAAACTTCACTGCGCTGTTTAATTCGAGTACGGGCTTTCCAATTGAGACATTAAACAATCAGGAGAATCTCTCTCTGACGATTCTCCGTACACCTCACAATATCCTCGTTAGATAACGAAGCGCGTTATGCTTTACGGAATTGTTTATTATATTGCAAGTACATAATATCTTATATCTTCGAAATGATAGCGATTTAGAATTCTTAATCTAAAGCCATGAACTCGTCGTCGTCATCTTTCTTATCGGGACTAGAAGACGCTGGCGGCGGTGCTTGTTGCTCTTTAGCATTTTTCTCTTCCTGCTGCCCTTGCTGTTGCTGCTGCTGTTGTTGTTGCTGCGGCTGCTGCTGCTGTTGTTGTTGCGTTTGTTGCTCTGGCTGTTGCTGGCCAGTCGATGATTTCGCCTCGGACTCGAGGGCGTTGACGAACTCTTCAATGTTGCCACTGGCAGCAGCGTTCACGGCTTCTGGACCCAGGCCGAATTGACTGATGACGGGTCCCGCCTGGCCTGACTGCAAAGCAGACCAGAACATTGATAGCGCCCGGGAGAACTGGGGAGACACTAGCGTTGTGCACAGGCGATCCCCAGGCGGCAAGTGCGGGCTCATCGCGCGCTCCAAGCTCTCCGTCACGGAGATCGCAGAGGGGATGCTATGCGTCAGCTCGGTCACTACGTCCCACTGCCGGACAATAATCTGTGCTGTAGGTGGCCGAAAGCAACATACTATCCCGGATAAATCTCCCAAACTGCTCGGCAGAGCAATTGCCTCCGACAGCCAGGAAAAATTCATGTGGAAAAATTACGTTAAACAACAGAAACAATCATGCCTTGCTCTCCGTCTCTCAATCTGTACTGTGTTTCGTTCGCTACGTTCGATATGTTACTAGCGCTATTGATTCTAGGAAATTTATACAACAGTTGATATGAATTCGCCGATTCCCTTATCGTATTTTGTCGATCGATTATCTCTAAATGACATTGCAACGACGTTTACGAACAAGCAATTGAGTAACAAACATTAAAGCAGATAAACTATTCAAGCACGTATATGTGTCGTCATTTCTTGCGTGAATAAATTATCTTTTTTCACAGAGAATTAGCACGATATTAATTCCAGCAAACATAGACGTTAAACGCGAACATATAAGTTAGATCAACATTTTTAATTGTGGGATGTACGATATGTGTTAAGCATTAAGAAGCAAACAATTTGTAGAAAATATTCATTAATACCTGCTATTGTGGCTAATGTATTAATTTAAGCTATCAACGATTAAGAAAGTAACGCAAAGATAATACAGCTGGTTTAGAAACTTATTAAATAATAAAATTTCATTCCGTACACGTTATCAAGAAGACCATTCTAGCCTTGATAATGATAATAGCTGTAAGAAGAGATACAATGAATAAAATAGCAGATAACAATATTATAGCAATTTATCATTCGATAATCGCTTAACAAATTGCAATTGGACATCCAAAATTCATGTATGAACGCATGAATGTAACGGTGCGCGAAATAAAATATTTTGTGTAGAACCTCTCGATTATATAGCAAGAAGATTGCTTAGCTGTAAGTTTAACGAAAACAGTATGTAAAATAAAATTGTAGATAGATCGAGATATTACCTGATAAACGGGATATTCGGATCCTGGCGTTCGAATTCTTGACAGAAAATTATGCAGAGCGCTCAGCTGGATCTTGTTATTAGTGCCTGCTGTTGTGTTACCACTAGGCGTCGACGTACCCGGTGTTCTAGTCGCTGTTGTAGATGTCGTCGACGAAGACTTGCTGTCTCCTAAACCAAAGACGCGTGTAAAATATTAAATGTGGCACGTACATTTAATATTCTTACCATTAGTGGATTTGGTAGAGTCATTGGTAGATGCGGGTGTCGATGCCACTTGCGTAGAGGGTCTCGAAGCATTAGTAGTGACCCTAGTTGATGCAGTCATCGTGGAAGCTCTCGTGCTTTGTACACCTTGAAGTCTATTTACTGTTCCCAACAGATTACCCAAACCTACTTGATCTGCCCCACTAAATAGTTGCATAAATTGTTGTTGAGACATGTTGCTCAACAAATTGTGGAGATCTTCCTCTGGGTTTGTGCATCCACTTCTCTGTGACCCAGGAGTTGGTGGATTATTGAGGACCTCATTAATCTTTCTGCAGTATTCTTCATCTTTGTCCGTTTTTAAATCCTAGCAAATAATTGAATATAATTTTTGATGACGTTAGCATCGAAATTTGGAGCTTATCTTACCTGCAGCCAGACAAAGAACTTTTTATTTGACGACTTGAATCTCAAAAGATACACTCTACCAGTTTTGCATTGAGGAACATGTTTAAATTCGCAATCATCAGGGAAAATGATTAAATCCTGTGGAGAAACGAAACTACAATTTACTAGGAGCTCATTAAATTTCGAAAGAAAATGTAGATCGTAGTATTTTCAGACTCAAACGAAATTCTTACGTCTTCGACGTAGCCTGATACGCGGTCCTTCCAACAGAAATGCATCAAAGAATCGTCCGATTGATAGACGTAAAGCTGGCCCTTTCGAATGTCTGGATAAATCATCTTTCCCTTCATGGTCATCTTTCCAGCTTTGAATTCAACCAAATTCTTCGGGGTGCCGCGCGACGCATTACTACCGAATAGGCTTCCTCCCGACATGACTGATATTCGCAAAACTCCAGGCGTTGTTTTGATATACGATAAATATATTTAATCTTTACACGCGGTCAATTTATGTTACTCGGAGCGCTGATGACACTGCACTTTAAAATGGCGTATAGAGAGACTCCTATATTATGTTGCGCTCTATACTTCTAGCTAACCAAAAATTATCGAACGTGGACGCCCCGTAGTAGCAGCTTCGTAAAATAGTGTTGAAACACCTGCTCGTGACAATTTAAGTATTTTGTTCTTAAAAATGTGTTTATCGGAGTGTCGCATTAATTTCGTGTGTCAATCTGAGCCCTCGATTTATGTAAGTACCATAATTTATTTATAATGCCAATATATTATGTTTTTCGTGCAACAACAATACGTCCGATTTACTGTGCGATTTGAAAAAGCTTCTTCGATGTTCTTTAACGTATTCTTGTTTTATATCTCTTATTAACCCTTTCATTCCTGAATTGTTTTTCATTATCGTTAAGAAACGAATGAATCGTATTCAAAAGACTTTTCATTCGTACAAAAGATGTTCGTCAGACTCCCAAGAATACAAATATATCTTACAGTTCATTACAGATTGTATGTTTAAAAATACAATAATTCGTTCGTGTGCTTTGTACGACAACGGCAGGTTCGAAAGGGTTAACTAGGAAAATCATTGTCGAAATGTGCAATAATAATTTAGTTCTTCAAAAGAAGAAGGCATACTGTTATAGTTTATTACTACTTCGATCTTTACTGAAATATTCATAAGACCCCAACGTTCAAATTCTTGAATCTATGACATTTTACATATGTATTTATAAATCATATATATTTGCTTGTGCAACAAGATAAATATCAATGTAATACGTAATAAAACTCGGTCTTTCATTCTGAGGAAAAGTAATTATAAGAATCTTAATCTTCAGATGCGTTTTTAACGCTTGTCGATGGCTTTTTTAATCAGATTTATTTGGAATTATATTTTGAAAAAGTTCGTAGCGATGCTATCAAGAGATGGCGTACCTTCCTCGAATCAATCGCGTTTATTAAAGATTCAAACAGAGGAACAGAGCACTCGATGATAGCAGAGCAGAGTCACTTGACCTCTCGAATCGGATTTCCATTTTCAGTACGTTTCAGGAATATTTTCGTGATTACGACATTTAGCTAGAAGCATTAGATCTAACTAATCCAATTTTCCATTATAAATTATCAATTCATATCAAGCAAATTCAAGTCTCGAATCTCTTATTCTCGATTCGTGATTTGTAATACTTAGATAGAACCATCGAGTCTAGCAATTCCAATTGCCCGTCATAAATTATAAATTTATATCAAGCAAATCCGAGTCTCAAACGCCTCAGTCCCAATTCAAAAGCTGAACAATTCTGTTATCGTAATATCAATAAACAACACTTAAGTTGTTGATAGTTTGAAAATAAAAACTGCATTTTATGCTAGGTTCTGCATTATATTTATTGTAATTTTATACATACGCACATACAAATAAGTGTGATAGACGATGCATGTATAAAAACATTTATTATTTTATGCGTCTTAGAGCATGGACGTAGCTTTTCTTTAAAGGTTCGTAAGCGTAATAAAGGTATTTATACAAACGCGAGAATTCTTAGAATTACTTAGCACGAGCACGCCCGAGGGGAAAACAATTTTTTGTTGACGCTCGGCCGAGGCGCGTCGCATTTCGGTGGCGATAATAATTCTACGAATTTTCTGCGAAAAGTGACCGAAGAATAACCCGTGCTTGATGTTCGACATTGAGACCACTGGAACACGTAACCGTTGGACTGTATTTCGAAACGTGTGATCTTTTTTATTAGTATTTACATTTTTACACTTCAATATGGATTTTCTCGAGACATACTCAATTAAATATTCATTGAACATTACAGCTGTTCATTTGCGCGTTTCCTTCTCACTTCTTTTTTGCTAGAATCGCTTAGAGACATACTGTGTACACACGTAATGAAGTAGCAAAGCTGATTTTCATTCCTAACGAATTAACTCATGCAGTCAATTAATGTTCGTTCTAAATGTGTGGGTATATGTATATGTAGATGTTTATTGTAGCAATTTTACAGTTTTTCAATAGTAATTCGTATGAAATCCGTCGATCGCTTTTCCCAAAAAGTGTCTTTTGTCGAAAAATCGAAACGCGTGCGTGGTAGGGCAGCAGATGTGTCAGGAGGTCTCACTGAGGTATTTCCGAAGAGTGTCTAGCCAGGTGCGTCCAGTTTCTCTTTCTCGGGAAATCGTCGATCTTTTCGCTTTAAAAGCTTCCACAGACGGAACGGGTTCGTAGCTTCTGCCGCGTTAAAAGATTTTCCTGACCTAAGCCAATACAGGGGTTCGGCGAGGACTGGCAAGGTCGACGAGAAAATTCCCGATACCGGGATGCTGAATTTCCCTCGCTATCAGGCGGCCATGCGCCCAGGGAAAGTGGGAAATCTGGAAGAGCTCTATGCTAGGCAAAGTGTACGCGTACTCTCGTGTATAATGGAATCCTGCTCTTCGTTTGGTCCAGAAATCAGTACTATCGACCATTTTTACAAGACAACCTATTCATGCATTTCTTCTCACATTTTAATTCAGATTGAAAACAGTTTCACATGTATTTATACGATATGGAGATGTGACACTCATTTCTGAGATTTTTATAATAGTCATACTTGTTCGATATTGAGCTTCAAAATGATTATTAATTAAACTCAATTCGAGCCCCTCACAGAATATTTTGTCCGTCAAGTTTTGAAAGGACTCTTTCCGATTCGTTGCTTCTTAATCGACAACACACTGGAAACATTTGGTTCCTAATATAGATAGTATTTATTCTGAAACGGAAGGTCGATATCTCTATATTTTCCATCCTATACACGCACGACGTTCTCGTGTGAGTGTGACTTGCGACACCCACGTAGAATGCGAGCGCTCTATTTCCCACATGACCTCCTGTTTCGAGCCAGACGCGCGGAGACCGATGAAAACGCTTTTGATGCGAACGAATTGACAACATGAGAGACAAGAAATTATTATCGGGGAGACGGTTCGATGCTGAAAGGGAAGAAATCGGTGACGTTCAAGCTGCGACGAAATTTTATTCTTCCTGCAGGATTCTCGCGACCTCGCAGGACCTATAAAGACTTCCTCGATCTATAGCTGTATGCATCCTGTTTAGAAGGTCCTGCGCAGCTATCGGCTAGAAAAACTGTCGATTTGCCCGAAAATCCGGGAACGTCGTACCAGGGAGCCAGGAGAGGCGTCAAGGTGTTCGGGCACCGACGGGACTCCTTTCGATTCCCTCGGGATGCACCCTCTCGACGAGCAAGGTGCGCGCCCGTTTCACAGGATAGCAACTCCTATAGAGGTTCCTCTCCGGCTCTCTATTTCTCTCCCCATTCGTTGAAAGCAAATTATAATGCGTTGGAATTTAAGAGTCTTACCAATTGTTTCGAGCAATTTATTCGTCCGACGAATTACTTTTTATTTAATAACAATTTTTGTTTCTTTATCAATAATTGTTAAGAACAGTTCATAACATTTGTTGTTAAAGAAATAAAACTTTTACTCACCCTTGTTCGTCGCGAATCGATCTGCTACTAGGTAAAAAGCCACGTCAAGGTTCGAATCCCTGTGGATGTCTTCCGAGGGAAGAAAACGAATAGGCGGTAACGTAACAGGAACCTAGATGCGGCGGAGGTATCCTGAGGGAAAACGTGGGCGGAAGAGCGCAGGCTTCGAGGGTCGCCACCCCCGCTCTGAAACCTTTCACATTGTTTGGAGATGCTGCATACGTGCTACAGATTGTACGCATCGTTCCCTCGTGAAATCATTTCCAATTCCAAGTTGTTCCTTCTGAAACGAACTCGAGATTTTCCATGCGAGTCAATTAATTAATCCCAGATAAGGTTTCCAGCTTAATTCACTCAACCTGTTTTGTTTATACCTCGCATTTAGAGTATCTCCTTTAGTTCCTTAAGAATTTTTGTCTAAAACTAAATATTTTCCTTCAGTATAACGTTTTGTAGATTTAGGTAATTGAGTTCCTTTAGTATATCAATTTATTCATAATTATTTACTATGTTCTATCATTTTTTCTAACGCTGTGGGGTAAATAGGTACACTCTTCACCTCATACTTTTAACAAAAAGGGATCTGCAATTTCGCTTGTTCTTTCCAAATGACTTTCCTCTGAGTTACTACGGTCTCGATCCTCGACTTACCGTAGCTTCGAGCGCCCGATGAAAGGTTCCTCCCATGTCGTTTAACTTCTACCACCCCCGACATAAAATTCGTATATCTCCTGCTGGCGATACATTCTGATACCGCCGTCGTTCTACGAAACTTTATAACACGCGTACACACCGGAGCTCGGTGCAAGCTCGATTATATTGGGCGTTCTACCAACCGGCAACTTTTACGACTTGGCTTTACGTTCATGCCGTTCTATACGCAACGTTACGCCCTCGTAACTTCACCCGGACGTGTCGATCGCACCTTACAGATACGGGGGATGGTCGCTGCTGGGAAAGGGGTTCGAACAATGGGTGTAACGCAGAAGGGAATATAACAAAGTTTGAATACGTTTCGTGACAATGTAACATTGTTACGGTAATATAAATGATAAGAATTATGAGTGGACTGTCGGTTGTTGAGCATCTGTATATGCGAGTTAAAAATAAAATGTGATCTGTATGAATCTGTAGCAACTAGAATTAAAAGATTGCATTTTTGTTAAAAGTTTTGATTTTTTATAAGAATACAGGGTGTGTTTGCTAGAGTCAAAGAAGCTTGTGACATTTATTGGAAACATTTTATAGTAGAGGATCGAACTTGCTTATAGGGAAAGCGTTTGTTGTAAAGTCACGTACAGGGACTATGGGGTGCGTTAACCCCGAGGACACGTCCATCGCCCTTTTTAGAATCCGTACAGCTGCGGTACAGTTCAAGGAGACACCCTTAAAAGGTCAAAAGTTCGTTCTCTTTGCGTGCACCCTGCGTGACATCCTCTCCTCCTCTTCGAGAGAGGAGGGTCGCCTGGCAACGGGGCTGGACGAATCCGGAGAGCGAAAAAAAAAAAAAAGGAAGAGGGATCCACCGTCTCATCTCTGTCCTCTTTGTTTCCT